TCGTGTCGCAGCTACAGCTAACACTGGATGAAATATGAGCACCAGACAGACATATTTTCTTTCCACAGATTCCGGCATTTCAACTTGAGGTAATAGGTTGGTAGCTGCCGGCGACGTGTTTTAGACCTGTTCAGTTACACGAAAGTGGGTGGATCACCTACAATTGTTACTCTTAAGGCCAAAACAAAATATATGTGTGGTTACTGTTACATGCCGAAAAAAAATAGGGTAGGTAGGTAGGGAAAACATTTTATTTTCTTGAAATATTTTATTTACGAACCATGTCCGAAGGATGTGCGTTGTTCCTTTTGAAGCAGGAACTGTCCTTATTTTTATTTTATTTATATTTTGAAGTAGTCCTGAACTGTCCATATTTTTTTTTTTTTGTTTACTTTAAAGAAAATTTACAATTAAAATGTTTAGGGTCGCTGGGAATAAATAGGGTCGGTTGGGAAACCGTAACCACACTTATATTTTGTTTTGGCCTAACCAACATTTTTGTAATACGTACTACATACAAAATAAATAAAAACGTAACTATTTTAGTGTTGGTATTCACACTTCATTGCCACATCCAGTAACACATTATTTTGACATTCTTTCACAAAAAGTCAAACTCAGACATACCCACAGGCACTTGGTGCATTTCAATAAAATATAACGCTAAATAAATACAAAATCTATTTACTACCAAAGTCTTAATGTTTCTAATTCTATACTCTCTTTCACCTATTATTGCCGACAATTTCATGTAAATGCCGTCCAAATGCTCATGTGCAACAAACGCTGGCGGCAGCCATTGCTCACGCTGCACACTGAACCTTAAATATATAGCAGGTAGGAAAGCGTGATCGCTAAATTCGCTCGACGCTAGCTTGATTTTCATACGAATACAACACAAATACTCAACCATTATTCTAATTTTTATTATTTTTATAGTTTATTATTATAACCAATGCGAGAATTTCGTCAGTCTTTGTGTGATTTCGCGTGACACAGCTCGGTTACGAACACAGACAGTATGTTTTTATAACAAGTGAACACTGTTCTTGAAATAGAAACAAAGATGGAGTAGAATGGTTGAGTATTTGTGTTGTATTCGTATGAAATCAAGCTAGCGTCGAGCGAATTTAGCGATCACGCTTTCCTACCTGCTATATATTTAAGTGTCAGTGTGTAGCGTGAGCAATGGCAGCCACCAGTGTTTGTTGCACATGAGGATTTGGATGGCATTTACAGGAAATTGTCGGCAATAATAGGTGAAAGAAAGTATAGAATTAGAAACATTAAGCCTGAGTAGCCACAATAGATTTGTAAGGCTAAAAAGCGAAAATAATCATATCTTACATTATTATGGTCACACAAACTGCATGAAATTTCACCATTATGAAAGAACAATCGATTTAATTTATATAAGTTTGTAATAACTTTGTCCATAATAGATAGGAGGGTATTAGAAGATTCGGAGAACAGTTTCCAACTTTCCATCTTCGCTTTCATGTTTAAATTTTAGCATCTTCTCCACATGTTTACTCCTTCAATAAATTTGAAAAGCCACATATATTCCCCCTTCCTACATTTACATATATATAACGCTGTGGCTATATGCCCGGCAGCCGGGCACGGTCTTCGATTTCCTAAATGCCCGGCAGTTCCTAACCCTAACCCTTGTTTACTTGAGAAAACGCTGAAAATTAAAAACTGCCAAACATTTACGAAATCGAAGACCGTGCCCGGCAGCCGTCAGATATATGCCGGCTGCCGGGCATATAGCCACTCTGTATATATATATATATATAACGCTGTGGCTACGGGTACGGCAGCCGTATCTTAATGTCTCAAGGCTAGAGGTACGGCAGTCCGATCGCTTTCATACTTAACGAGACAAAGATGGCGGTGGGTGGCGCCAGATTTCGAAACACCTTGGGAAATAAATTCACGATTTGAGAGTTTAGATGAGCTAGAACCCTAACCCTAACGCCAAAAAGGGGCTTCAACAAACGACGGCTGCCGTACCTCCAGCCACCGCGTATATATAAAGCGCAACACGTATTCCCAGCCAAAACCGAAAAACGTACATGGCCATCGCATGAACGCCTACGCATGAACGCATACGAATCACAACAACATCGCCATCCGTGTGTGTCGACGGCAAGTACAGAGACACGCACTCACGCATGCAGAATCACATACGAACCTCGTCTTGGAGCGCGATCTGGAAAAGGAATGACTGCGAGAGCGAGATTTCAAGGAAGGATTCACATCATTGGGAGATCCGCCCCTGCCACGTTTCTTCACCGCAACCGTGCTTCCCTGGAAATTTAAGCAAATTGTTACATCAAGATTACATCTAAAACATGTAAAGATTAAAAAGACTGATTCATCTCCATAATTTGCACGGTAACTTGCTGTCCCAAATCAGCCCAAGGATAGAGAACATGGGTCCCAATAAAACCAATGTGCTTGGCTAACACCCTGACCTTAACCCTAACTCTAACCCTGACCTTAACCCTAACCAAAAATATAATCAATATAATCAATAATATTGATGTAAATGACATTGGGTTTACCGTTTATTGGGACCCATGTTCTCTATCCTTGAACCCCCAAATCAGCCACACTGACTAACTGACTGTCAGACAGGCATTATTTTACATACAGACGTTGATAATGATAGGCTAAATAACTATAACGTCAAACTAAAAAGATTTAATAATTAATAGTCCTGTAACTACTAATCATGAAATCGTGTATTAGCTAAGACACATAATTAATCGGCTGAAAAGTTATAGAACAATTTCATTTGACGCTACTTGTACCAAAGAGAGAGCAAAACAACGTGAACGTTCAATAACAAGAACGCTGCAACTAAATTACGCTGCATGTACCAATAATACTAGATCGTAAAAACAAACAAACATCAAAACACGTGTTTATACCTCATCGTCACTCATTGTGAATTGCAATACGTTATGCTTCCTCTAATATACCATAAATTGCAAGAAATTCCAACAAAGCGTCTGACACAAAACAAATGCAAATGGTAGCCGGTTTCCACGCTACTCTCCTAGCGCCATCTGTGGAGCTATCACTTAAGTAAAAATTTTTACTATATCGATGGCGCATTTTTTACAAGCTGAATGATCCGTGAGTTGGTTCTTGAAGTTTCCGCAATGGCCCGTAAGAACCTATATTGTGTGCCATCTGCTATAACTTCAACAAAATAGTTTCAACAAAATAATATTTTGTTTGGCAGCTGGTCTGGTACTAGTAAGGGCGCAAATCCAATTTCAAAAGTGGGGGAGGGGCAGACGTACGTGGTTCAAGAGCCTGCGAGGGAGCGAAGCGGCCGAGCGGGGGGAGGGTTTTTTAAACGGTAGGAACTTTTCGTATTTTTGATCTATTCGTTTAAGTTTTATTTTTTCGTTTTTTATTTTTTCGTATTATACGAATAACATGAATAACGTTCACTGCACGTATCTCAAATATAGCGTATTGCTCGTGTCACGTTTACGTTACCTCGCTAGGTGATTACACGTTTAATTTCTCTTAGCTATTCTAGTATTCTAATATAAAAAGGGTCATTATTGCGCATTTTAATTGCAAGTATCAACTATTGTTTGTATTGTTTACATGCAATCAACTAGGTGAGCTGATCACTATAGTGGTGTATGAATTTTCAAAACTTTCCATTTCAAGTAATGCTTTTTTGACTGCTTCGTGTATATCGTTGATACTTTTTATTTTTAATTTAGTGTAGTGGAGACAACCACAAAATAATAATATTATAGAAGGGGCTTATAATTATGCAGAAGCACATGTTCAAAAACCTGGGGTTTTTGATAATGATTAATGTGTCCCCCACCCTACAAAAAGTTGGGGGGACGTGTCGCCGACCTGTGTCCCCATGGCATTTGCACCCATGAGCGCAATCTACCGATTGCCAGACTGTGTGGCAATCTCGAGATATCAGGGGTGGATGTAGGGGGGTGTCCGGTGGGTCCGGACCCCCCTTTAATTTCAAAGTGCCCCAAAAATTTACTGCTCAGATGCTCTCAGAATTTACCAATTTAAAAAAAAAAATTCTTGTAGGAGGTCTCCCCCCTAAGTGGCAACGAGCCGAAGGCACGTCGCATAAGCTGCCTTTGGCAGTTCTTTAAAACACCAGAAAAATTAAGCAGGAAAAAAGTGCCCTTTATTTCTTCCTGGACACCCCCCTTTCAAAAATCCTGGATCCGCCTCTGTATATAGTCTTAACAATTTATTACTTTTGGGTTTAAACTACTTGGGAGTATGTGCAATTTACTTTAAATGTGTATTTCAACTGCGTAATATTTCGTTTGGCTGATGCTATGCACGTGCGAAATCTGGAATGTCGCAAAAAACAACGAAACCCAGGGAGGCTCCTTGGAAGCAAGGCCATAGTTAGTGTGTGGGGCAGATGCCCGCCTAGATTTAGGAGAAAATGAGTGAAACGCTGAATGAATGGGAATAACCAATCCATAAAATCAGTGTAAATCATCGAGTAATCAATCATACGTAAAGCCCCCAACCTAACGTTATGAAGGTTAACGCGACGGTCAGGCTGCCGGTAGGTGGCCGTCACCCTATATTTATTTATATTATATTATATATATTGATTATATTTAATATTTTTTTAATTATATTTATTTATTATATTATATATATTTATATTAAATATTATTATAGAGTCTACCTATATTATTTCTATGTGAATAACATGTGAATATACATTGTAAATAATACCTGTCATCATCATCATTATTATTATTATTATTATTATTATTACTGCTATTTATTGAATTCGTAATAATATATATACAAATTAGAAGATAATCAATTTCCTTCTATTGCCAAGTGTGCTGTTAAAGTGTAACAGGGAAAAGAATAACGGTTCTATACAAGACTATATACTTTGTATAAGATTGCATGTGTGACTGATAATTCACCTTTAAAAATAATTAAAGAAGAAAAGACAATTTCTTAGTTATTAAATGCTACTTTTATTGCTTTCAACACGAATGCAGTAACCTTTACAATAAAATGCCACTAATATCATTCACTTGGTTTGGCTCCCCCTTTTGTTTCTTTGGCTCTTTATTTTCATATTAACTTCCTTATTTATTACCTCTGATTCACCTCGCTCTCCCTATCTGCATCCCTTCCTCTCTCATACGCACTAACTTTCATATTGAATATGACTGTATTTTGTTGTAAATTATGAAAACACTTTACCAATATCACGTTACTGAAAAAAAGAGACGTAATAAATTATTCTACAGAGCCGGATGCAATCATGCATCATGTATAAACGATAAATATTTAACAGCTCAATTTACAGAATATAACCTACACCAATACGGCCGATCTTCGTTATTTTTTTAAGGCGCTAATTTATACACACTATAGCGCCTATTTCAAATGATCAAATAATCATATATCCCCCTCTTTAGCGCTAAATCTTTTTTAAATCATTAATGGGTGTCACACCAGTCGATTCTCTATGAATTACAATGTTACTACACAAACCTATGTAAAGCTGAGTGACATTAAACGGCATTACTTTGGTCGAACGATGAACCTGAACTGAGAGAGAGGGTTTTTGGCACGGCATCATCGCGCAAAACGTGAGTAGAAGAGTTCTTGTGATAGTAGAAAACACACTTAGTCACGCAACGTGACCATAGATGTCTAGCAATTCGTGCTAATGCATAATCCAGCAGCCAAAATGGGTTGTGGATTAAGGATTAGCTTAAGCTCAGCACTGGTAAATGGTAATATACACGTCAACAATTCACAACGGTGCATATTGTATACAGTGTAGCAATTCACTTTGTGTCGTTTTTTCCTTTCTCATCGTAACAACTCTTTCATTACCAGCCAAGAGCACATTCTCTTCACATTCAGTAAATCAATGTAAACACCTGACAGGAAAACTCAAACGAGGTGTCAAATATTAAAATGAATCGTGCAAAATTTGTCAAAAAACGAACAAAATGATTGCTTAAAATGATGGATATAGAATGAATTTTTTGGTTATTTCGTGAGACGTGTTAGACAGCAAATGAAGCATAGGGGCCCACTAGCTGCACTGAAAATAGGTGTAGCTGCATGAGTATTGAAATGGGAAAACAAATATATGGTAAAGGCTCACTTGTAAAACGAACACCTCTACATATCTATGCTAACTGTCTATCTACATACCAATATGTCTATATATATATTTCTCTCTACATACATATATATATATATATATATATATCTTTATATACACAACGTGAAAAGATTGTTGTAAACAGCCACTATAAATAATAAATAACTCTCCCACACTGCACTTACAACAGTTTCTAGTAAAGTAAAATATATATATATGTTTCTCGCTCCACCTTTCTCCATTCTCCACTTCTTCCTCTCTTCCTCTTTTTTGCTGTCCCCCTAGGCCAGAATGCACCAATGAATAGGTTGACGACAGTGCGTGTGGGTGTGGACAAGCGTGTAAAAGTGCCACGGCGTAGCGCCACTGTACGACAGAGTCCTGACTAACATGACGAATGCGTGAGGTGAGAACAGTCTCAGGAAAATACTCGTACGGTAAAAATGCGATCTGTGTCGGTCGCACAGCTGTCGCTGGAAGTCACGGTATTGCCAAGCTCCTAGGTAATCGTAGATCCTGCGACAAATGTCGAGAGAACACGTGTAAATTCCGCGTGGGTGCTGACGCGTGCGTGCGTGCGTACTTATATATCCCGTGAATAGACTTTGAAGAAGCATGTCAGAAACGAGGTTTCTCCTTACTATACGTTTTCATGTACGATACCGGGACTGAATGAAAACAGGTTTACTACTGATGATACGATATATTACGAAAATGCAAAACCGTCACAGATTTGAGCAATATCACGAGTGTATAACAAAGAGTCTGTATATAAAAAAGAGAGAGCGAGCGAGATAGAGAGAGAGAGAGAGAGCGAGAGAGAGAGAGAGAGAGAAAGAGGAGAAGAGTTTGACATACCAGCCGGTGACACTCTTTCTACGAGGCTTGGTCTTCTTATTGCCTGTGTTACTAGGAGACTTGGCTGAATGGCCTGGCTTACACTTTATGATATTTAACCTGTGTATAAATAAATGAAAGTGTCAATGGCACTTGTAGCTCACCTTGGTTGTGATAAGAAGATGAGGGGCGGGGATGATATAGGATCAGCAGTATATATGGGGAGAACTCCCTTATATAGATATCTCCTATTATATACTCCTTTGAACTGATATATGCATACAGTTTTTGATGCGAAAAAAATAAATGTTTCAGGATCTGAAAGTCTAAATCTTGACGTAAGATAGCCAACTACGCGCTAATGATTCGCATTTTGATTTCGACATATCGCGCAAATATAAAACAATAAAATACTTCCAGGATCAATTACGCTGTGAACTCATGAATCTTAAAACCAATATTACCACGTATATAGGTATGATTGTAGAGTGTAACCAGTTTAGAGAAATAAACTAATAGGACGTTGTCATTCTCACCACATTGAGGAGTAACAATGTATTTGGTGGCTGCAGCCTTACACATTCCAGTTATACCAAAATTTAACAAGAATCGATAGTGAATCTAGATCTGGTCATTTTCATCTTTCTGCCAAAAAGTGGGCGCCGGCTCAAAAGTAGGTCGCTGGCGTGCTCCAAACATAGACGTTCAAATCTGGCTCCATAGCGAAGTAAACAACTGTATGATGCAATTGCAGAACATCGTGGGCAAACTGTTCCTTGAGTTATCGTTGACTGTAGGCAGACACTGAAATTGCCAAAATCTACCTAATTTGCATTATTAAAAAAAAATCAAAACCTGTGTGATATGTTTTGGGGCCAGTCCTCATTCAATCACATACCAGAAATGAGCAAAATCCATTGAACCTAAACTGACTTATGGCCATTTCCATTTTTGCCAAAAAGTGGACGTGGCTCCAAAGAAGGTTGACTGGCGTGCTCCAAAATAGGACGTTCAAACCTCTCCAACAGAAGTAACAACTATATCCAATTTGAAACATGTGGGTCAAACGGTTCTCGAGTTATCGTTGACAGTAGCCAAATGTTGACGAACGGACGGACGTACGACGAATGACACCCCATGGCAATAGCTCATCTTGACGATGTCAAGGTGAATTAAAAAAGAATCACTTTCTCAATAATAGTTTAGGATCTACATTTCGTACTCCTATAGTATGATGACAACAATTGTATTCTGTACCGTTATTTAAAATGCAATAATTATGATAAGCATGGTGCATTTGTCACATATATAAGCGATAAAGTGATAATGCTTTTTCTGCTATAGCACTTACATATCTCCTTTTCCTGCCATTGCTGATTTGATGATGACAGGGTCAGAAAGCTGTCTCATAACTGCAGACTGAGGCTTGAAGTTTGGTCTCGCCAATGACAATTGCTTTGGTGGTGACCTCTGGTGAGCAATAAAATCAGTAAAATGTAAAAAGCCTGTACATGCATAAAATCGCGTTACCAATTTTATCAATAGCCTGATGAAGAGACAATGTCTTGAAAGCTTGCTATGAAATAAATATATGACACACTATTTCTATACTTTGAATTAAATTCTATTTATGTACGTTTACATGTATATATATATACACACGCATGCATGCACGCACGCACATGTATATATATACTTAGACAATAAATATTAATACTATATATAATAAGATGTTCAGAATTATTTCGGAATCTGTAATTAGGCACTCCTGCTTTACATAACTCGGCAGCAAACCTCACCGCGGGCGACTTTGAGGACTTGTTCTGTCGGAAGAAGCGCATGCCGATCGGTGTGATGGCGAACGGGGGAGACTGACGCTGCGCGACCACCTCGCTGCCCCGTTGCTCCCGATGCGTCGTGCTCCCCCTGGTGGTCGTCGGCACGGCAACGCGCGTCGCGTTGCCTCTCGCGTTGAGCGCTTCCACGTGAAAACCTGCAAGACGCGAGGCGTTGGACACTCAGCCAAGCACCCTCTCCCCACCCGTCATCTATGTCATGCAGCAACAAGATACTACCATACTGCCTGAGCTGCACAGCTAGTTGATGGGTGTCTATGTTCCCCACCCGAACCTATCTCCTCTCATCTCTCCATCCGACCCTCTCCCCTTCTCCTTCCACCCGGCCCTCTCCCTCTCTCCTCCCACCCAACCGTCTAGTTCTTTCTCCGTCTCCTTCCACCCTCTACCCCTCTCCCTCTCTCTCCTCCATCCAACCCTCTCCCTCTCTCCTTCCACCCGGCCCTCTCCCTCTCTCCTCCCACCCAACCGTCTAGTTCTTTCCCCCTCTCCTTCCACCCTCTCCCCTGTCTTCCACCCAACCCTCTCCCCTTTTTCCCACCCAACCCTCTCCCCTTTCTCCCACCCGACCCTCTCCCCTTTCTCCCACCCAACCCTCTCCCTCTGCTCCCGTGCTCCCGGGTAGCTTTACCGTTGACGAGCACGGCCGCCTTGCCTCCCGGCATCTTCTCGCTCGTCCGCTTCACTGTCGAGACGTGGCGCTGAAGATCGGACCGGCTACTCCGCGCCGCCGTAGCCACGGCGTGCCTCGTCGCACACGTCGACAACGCGGCCTTGCTGCTGGCGGCTGCAGCGGCGGCGGCTGCGGTGGTGGCGGGCAGGCACGACGTGCTGGCGTTGCTGTAGCAGGTGAACGCACGGATGAACGCACAGCTCGCGCGACGACAGCGAGAACGAGGGGCGTATGACGCAGGGATAGCATGGGGATGATCGCGGGGGGGGGGGCACTGCACGCGTTAATCCATGGGCGCCGAATATCAAATGCCGATATTCAATCCTAATTCGTTTATATCCAATTAAACCTGTGCAATCACGTACACCAAGGTGGTACTCGAGTGAAACCCCAGAATTATTCTTTATTGGCCCGACCTGACCCGACGTCAACCCGACCCAACCTGACCCCGACACCACTCGACTGACCTCCTCCCAACCCCGACCCGACCTCACCCGACTGACCTGACCTCCCGACCCGACCTGACCTCCCGACCCCCGCCCGACCCAACCCGACCTCCTCCCAACCCTGACCCGACCTCGACCTCCTCATGACCCGACCTTCTCCTGACCCCGACCCTCGGCGCTCGTCATACCTGTTGCCGGAGGGCGGCGGCGGCGGGGCTCGCTGCGTCTGCCGCGGCATGCTGAAGCGCTGCAGGCCGTTGGCGGCTCTCAGCTGCCGACGCAGCCAGTCGCGCAGGCCGCGCATCGACTGATGCTCGGAGCGTGGCAGCCGCGACCACGGGTTCGCTTCCAGCATGTCCAGCGCGGCGACGGCCAGGGCCTTGCCCACCTGAGATGGAAGGACAAGGTAGAGTGAGGGGCGAGTGACAGAAAAATAAGGGGCGAGTGACCGACAAATAAGGGGCGAGTGACCGACAAATAAGGGGCGAGTGACTAGCGAATGACCAGTGAGCGACCAGCGTATGAGGGGAAAATAAGGGGCAAGTGAATGACGTATGGTCAACGAATGAGGGGCGAATGAGGGGTGAGTGACCAGCGAGTGAAGTGGGAATAACGCGGATTTTACGAAAATTCGTACGTCTCTGCAGAGATTTTTGAGCAAAATTTTTGAACGCGATACTTCCATGCAATAATCTTTTTTCACGAAACTCGGACGAGAACGACGAACAATTGCGAACGACGTGAAAATATTACGGATAATCCACAACGCGCTACCCACTTATTAAAGATCGGCGAAGAAGCGTGATCGACGCACAAGTGAACGCAACGCGAGATGTAACAAATGCAAGCACCACCTGGCGAGCGTCTTACCTCGCCCCAGATGTGAGGCGTGTACTTCGGCGGCAGGCCTATAGGTGGCGGCGGCGTCGCGCGGTCGTTGAGCGAGAGCGGCAGCACGTTGACGACGCAGCCCGTGTTGTAGTTGCACTCCAGCGTGTAGCTGTGCGGGGAATCAACGACGTGTTAGAGTGATCATGCACGATCGCAAGGGCGGAGGCACGCACGATCGGAGGAGTGGGGCAGGGGGGCAGAGGCGTGCACGATCACAGGGGTAGGGCAGGGGGGCGGAGGCTCCCACGATCGAAGGAGCGGGGCAGGGGGCGAAAGCGTGCACAATCGCAAAGGCGGGGCAGGGGGCGGAGGCATGCACGATCACAGGGGCAGGGCAGGAGGGCGGAGGCGTGCACGATCACAAGGGCGGGGCAGGGGGGCGGAGGCTTGCACGATCGCAAGGGCGGGGCAGGGGGGCACGCACGATCGCAAGGGCGGAGCAGGGGGCGGAGGCGTGCACGGTCGCAAAGGCAGGGGAGGGGCGGGGGCACGCACGATCGCAGAAGTGGGGGCTTGCGCGATCGGTACACATCGAAACCTATGCCACTGTCACTTCACTGTCTATTCACGTCCATGCTATTACGCACTATATTACATTACGTACCACATCACTATATTGCAACACCACGTGCATATTACGCGTCAAACTCATCCTATTACGTACTATATCGATACAATACAATACTACGACATGCATATTACATGTCAACACCATCCTAGTACATACGTAACATACTTGATCTGTACATCGCCACACTACGTGCGTATTATGCTCACCAGTGGCTGATGCCGGTCATTTTGTACGTGGCGACGCGTCCGCTGCCAGACTTGGACATGCCGTCGCGTTTGTCCTTCGTGTACATGTTCCGCTCAGTGAAGTTGCAGCCGGAATAGTCAAAGTGCGGCGTGTTGAGTGACAGCAGCTTCGTGTAGAGCAGTGCTGCCATCTGACGCAGGAAATCGTAATGAATGAAGAAAATATGTAGTGAATTAATAATAAGTCTAAAGCGGTAAAAATTCACACAATTATAATTATTAAAGGATTGGGTTTACCAGATAGAAAAAGTTCGTACATCAGTAATGCAGAATCGTAAAACATTATCGCTCCATTTGAACAAGAGCCGCAGAGCGACTGGGCTCATCTGAGGTGTGTTGTTACGGTTATAAACGTCACATTTAAGTCGTGCGTAGTGACACCTTTGTTAGGCGCAGATATGCAGATACGCAGTTGCGTACACATCATTTCAGCAACCTTCTGCATTCTGCATACCTCCCAAATCCCATTGGTTGATACAAATCACGTGCCTGAAACTCCTGTTTTATGGTGCATTGTGACCCTAACCCTAACCCTATTAAAAAAAAAGGAAAAATTAATTGTTGTAAATAAATCATGTAAATATTTGCGTTAATTGGAAAAAAATAGTTTAATGGATAAAGATAGAAAAATACAGGAAAACAGGTAACTAATAAAAAATCAGATGGGATTCGATCCAACAACCTTTCAGCCGTGACGCTCATGCTGTACGCGTTTGGCTATCCATGCTTATTGGGTTTCTAGATTATTGATGTGCCATGAATATGACAACACTGGGACGTCATTGAGGCAGTTCAGGAATCCATGTTTAACCCTCCTCTTGAGGGTCAAAAGATTATCAGACACTTACTCTTCGCACGTCAGTGGAAAGCACATTTCATGGTCCTTTCAATAAAGTGATAAAAAAAAGTCAGCGCTGAAACAAAAAAGGTTTTCACTCCATTAGGCCATATCCTCAGAAAATGTCTGATATCCGACCTTTCCCCCACTGCCCTTTGACCTGTGACCTCCAATTTCGCACTGGTGATGAGTTTCCTGCCCATCACACTATACACCGAATATTAAGAGCATAGGTCAAGCCGTTCAGATTTGCGCCGCAATTCCGTATTTCCTCCTATACCTTAAGTTAAGGGGGAAATATTCCCCCTCCGTTTACACATCTTGACCTTTGACCCTTGACCCCCAAATTTGTCATCCTGAGTCCTTTTCACGATCTCCCTCCCCCCCGACGTCCCGAATATCGTAACCGTACGTCGAGCGGTTAAGATTTGTGCCCAACTGGTGACGCACAGGGATGGACGGATGAACGCACGCTCATGCGATTCTACAAGCTGAATCTGACTTCGTCAGATGAGCTAAAAAGCATTCCTGTGTCCCGCATTCATGTTGCCGTGCAACATGCCTACACCCCTGCACCACACATCCCTGCACCCTGCATCCTTCCATCACCACACCACTGCATCTTTGCATCCTCGCACCCCTGCTTCACACATCCCTGCAACCTACACCCTGCATCCCTGTATCTGTGCATCCTCGCACCCCTGCATCCCTGACCCACATCCATCCTAGCATCCCATGCAGCTTCGCACCCCTGCATCCTTCCCTTCCCCATCCCCCCACATCCCTCCCATCCCTCCAGAGATGCCAACACATATTTGAAGCAATCTGTAGTTTCTGGACATCAAATTAGTAGTTTGAGGGTCACGCAGTGACACGAGTTTGCTAGGGGGGTCCGGCATGACCCCCGGAAAATTTTTTGATTCTGAGATGCAATTTCCTGCATTCCGAGGGTAAACGAATTTGTTTTTTTTTTATCATAGTGAAATTCGTAGTTTGATACAAACTGGTCGTAGTGGTGCAAAAAGAATAGAAATTCGTATAAAATACGAATAAATCGTAGTGGTTGGCATCTCTGTCCCTCCATCCCCGCATCCACCTCACCTGCTGATCCTCATCCTCCATGTGGTTGCCATAGATGAAGCATCCGCGCTTCGACGCATGTCCGTGCAAGTCGATGTAATAGGCGAGTCCGCTCTCCGCTGCCGGCACCGCCGCCGCCTCCGCCTCCGTGTACTCCACGTCCCGCCACCGCCCCCACGCCGACCCCGCCCCTGGGCCACGCCCGAGCCGGTCCTCCAGTGAGACGCTCCCCATGCGGTCGACGAGGTCAGGGATCGTCACCGCGGCGACGTCATGCGGGGGCGCCGCAGCCGCCTGCACGCAGAACTTCTTCGGCGGAGAGCTGTACTCGCGCGCCGGGGATCCCGGGGACGCGGCGGGGTCAGGGGTCGCGGCGAGGTCGCGCTTGTCGCACGTCGTCGTCGTCGTTGCCGCGGCGATGGGCTTCCTCGCGCGGATCGCCGGAAAGAAGGCGCCACCGTCACGCGCCCGCGCATCCCTCCAGGTGTAGCTGGCGATGTCGCCCGTCGCGGCGATATCGTCGACGTCGGTTGCCGTGCCGACGTCGGTTGCCGCGGCAATGCTGCCGTTGCTGCTGCTGTCCGTCTCGAAAACGCCGTCGCCCGTCGCGGCGTGGCTGCTGGTGAGCACGACGGGGGCGCCACCGCTGTCGACGCGCTCGATCACGGGCAGGCGCTGCAACCTCGTGGTCTCCTCCTTGCCCGGGTGCGACTTCCTCCGCTCCTGCGCCTCCCTGCCAAGCTTCCCCGCTTTGCCGCCGTTCCTCCGGCCCCCCGCGGCGTCCTGCGCCGCGCTCTCCTTCGTCTTCCCCCGGCCGCCCTTCTCTTCGTCCCTCCCCTTCCCCTCCCCCCGCTCTCCGCT